TGGTCGGTTGAGGCAACTGGTACTGATGAGTTGCAATGTTGGTGCCATTGTGTTTTGTTGCTGTCAAGTACTTTTTACTGGCAAAACTGCATGACCTCGAACTACCTTGAGCTGTCCTGGTGTCGGTTAACAAAAAAATGTGAATTTGAGAAGTGAATTGACAGGGTCATAATGGAGTACTGATAAGGGTAGTTGTGAGGCCACTAAGTGGATTTGATTGTATAATTATGGGGTAGAAAATATAAAAATTTGACAATCGTATTTAGGTTTGCATGTACATTTTGACGACTTTGCGTCACTTACTACCAAGGTAATGACATGGTTTTAAATCAGTGCGGATTCTTTGAGTATGGGCAGCGCCTTTGAATATACTTTTTTATGCCTCAAAATTTGTTATCGTTGTGTTAAGTTTACCTACTTTAGACCATTTCTGTAACGAAATTAGCAATGTTAACTTGCTTGTTTGATTTCGCTCACGCGCATTCCCCATGTTTAATTAGCTTTCTAAATGCTTCACAAGCACATGCTCAATTTTTCTTAGTTTTTAAAAGGTAGAGATTCTTACTCTCAGTTGCACATTTTGTTGTTATTTTGGCTTTATTAAGGATCAATTGTTTAAGACGCGTTTAAGTATGTTACACATTTTTACGACTGTAGGTTAATTTACCATATGTTTCACTAAACTTTACCATTAACTTCACCACCCTTCGTTTCCCAACCTTAGTGACCACTTCAATGCTCTAGTTTCTCTTAATTCTGTCATGTAGATGCGCTCCGCAATTTACAGCGCTATTCAATTTGCAGTTGCTCACTTTATTTATTGCCACCGTTATATTCAACCAATTCTGTATAGTTCTGAAGCCCCCATCTGGCTGATTAATCTGTGGTCTTGTTAGTTTTACCCAGTTTGATTAATACGAGTGAATTAATCCATAGTCTTTGTGAATTTCGCTACTAATAAGGCCTTTTAAGTGTGTGTTGTCTAGAATTCGCAAAAGCAACACTCGTCTAGATTTTTTTCACGTTGTTTGCTCAAATCCAGTTAACTTCAATCGATTGTTATAATTGGTTAGGTTTTTAGCAAGTGCAGGCCACATTGCAGTCATATTTGTCGCCGTTAACATCGATAATACCATAAAAAGAAGCCGATGGAAAGGCGATGTGACCGTTTATTTGTCCTCTTGATCTGGCGCGTCGTTGTAATTGAGTGTGGGCGCAGCCGTACTTCGAGTAGGGATTAGGTACGTGTATGGACTAATGAAAGACAAGGACGGGTCACCGGTGCTCTTCGTCTTGAGATAAATCTGTTTGGCCAAACTTATACTAAGCCGCCTCCGCCGGCAATCCACTGCAGTTTATCCTTTTTGAAGAGGAATTTGATTAATATCAGGCTTGACTTACTTCGAGTACAAACTCTTCTGCATTCGAAGCGTTTTCTGCAGCGTACAGCAAAAAAAATAGTGCTGGACTTTGCATCTAACGATGGAAGACTATTATGTGCATTGATTTCGGAATCCTTTTGTCGATCAACTGGCATTTACTGACTATACTTACTGTTAGGTATGTTTTAATTTAGGGACTAGATGAATACTCGAACGAATCAGCCATTTTGCGCCTTTGGTTGGCAGGTGAATCTTCACGATGGTTAATGCTCGTCGTGTGTGTATGTTTGTTTTCAAGTAGTGGAATTAGCTTGATGCAACAACTCTGTGACGAGACTTTCCCTATTGAAGATGCGTCACAATTAGTGGACATCAATATATTTGCTGTGTCTTTTTCATTTCTCGCCCCTTACAAGTTTTTTTTCTAATGGTAGAAGGAAATACCAGGAAACCTTTTCGCATGGCAACATGTTTTTTTTAATGTTTGCGTCAAAATAATGGCTTTGAGCAGGGTGGAGGTGGTGGTAGTGGTGGTGGTGACAGCACCCCTCCTCCTCCTCCCCATGATCCTGGAATTCCACAGACATCGTCCATAGATCTCGGATGGTGGTGAGGCGTCCTTGGTATTCCTCCATTCTTCCGAGTCCTTTTCTCACTGACGAAAATCCCGCCCTTTCTTGCTAGAGCGTCAAGAATGCGCTCCCTGTTTTCAGAATCGGTAGTACTTTCCTTGAAAAAGGTGGGGTGAATGGCCGTGCTTTTGCAGCGTCTTTGACTCCCTGAATTCGAGTTTACCGTACTGCTTGAGGCGTCGTCAAACAATCCGTCGAATGTATTCCTATTATTACTCTCTGTAGGCGCTGGGAGTATCATTGACGTGAAGGCGACGGCTGCTAGAGAATCAGCACAGAGCATTGCCGTTGGACCGCGCTTTCTCATCTTCTGCTTGTACGCCTCGTAGGATCCCTTGGCAGTCCGAATAACGAACTAAATTACGACACAGTGGTTACTGGAATAATTCAAGTAGACATTGTAAATACAACTTCACAAACCTTCAGAACTGCGTTGTAGACAAGAGGTACGGGTGTTAGAAAGACCGTCCACAGGGCTATCGCAGAAGCCAATTCGCCCTCGGGGGAAGGTATACAAATTCTTAGAAGTGGAATGGCGAGAAATCCCTGATAGACGGACAATTGGTTAGCTATGGCCCTACTTCTTAGCACTGAGAGATGAAGTATGTGGCCTATGAGCCAGCCACAAGTGTAGCTCGTTGTCACCATGAGAAAGAGGGCCAAACCAACGTGTTGGAGATAGGCCATTGGTTGGGGTGCGTGGAACACGTACTGGTTAATGTAGACGCCCAATGTAATGAAGAGAATCGCAGATAGGAGGAGGAATGGGTGTGAAAACCAGGTTAGCACCGCTCGTGCTAGTGCTGGACGAATGCATCGCAAGCCAAATCCAAGAATTTGCACCAGCGCAACCAGGGAGATCAAACCACAAAACCGAAGAAGGAATATAGGTTGTCTAAACAAGTATGTTCCCACAACGTAGATCCATAGGGGAGATGTCGCTGGATGAAGTAATACAGGTTTGCACGAATCAATAGCATTACATGTGATTACAGGAAAGTGTTTCGTTTTAATTTTAACATATTGTAATGAGCACTTGTGAGATTATAAACTTCTATAGTAGAGCTTTCCTAAATGTAAGCAGTCCTGCCAAATATACCCGAACACTGCAAGATGTCGCGAATTAAGCAAGTCAATTTTGTATTTGGCCATGCGTGAAACTTCACAGTTGGGGATCACGCATCCCATAAAAGAACTAAGGATGCCGTTTTAGGCTACTGATTATAAATAGCAGCAGAGGGGCAGTTTGATGTTTTCGGTGTCCGAAAAACGTTTGCTAAGGCGTGTTGATGTGTGGTGAAGAGAGGCACGCGTGCCTAATGCGCAAAAGTACCAACGCTCGTTCAGTTAATGCAGCCAGCGTTAGTTCTTTTTTGAGGAAGATTGCGCAACAGAAAGGCTGGCATTTGGTTGGGGGGGGGGGACCGGATCTTGCACTTTCGCACAGGTGCCTTCATCTGGCTGTGATTGGCCGGTTTCGTAGGCAGCAAATCCCAAGCGCTGTGCGTAAATTTGCTATCCTGAAATGTCTTCATGCCTATCTTGTTTACCTTGCCTATTCCCTATTAGAGGAAATTGCACAATTTGACGAAACTTTAGACCCGCGTCATCTTTCCCTTCCACATTGCTTGCAGATCCATTTTAAGTGTGTGTGTGGGCACAGCCTGTAGCGCTTACAACAGGGCATCCATCGTCAGTTTTGCGTTCTTTTTGTAAACATTATAATTGCAATATACTTCCACACATTAAATCAAGCTAATATACCATTTTGTCAAGCTGGTTTCTAAAGGGCGAAAATTTGTAACTGTTTCATTTAAAATTTACAGGTAGTAATCAAAGTTGTTAGTTCTCTCTTGAAATTCCACTCTTATGGCCTTCTTCTTGATAGTCTCTTTCCGGCTATTATCGAGGAACCACTTGTTGGCATTTTACACTTTCCTCATCAACGGTGTCTACTTGTTCCAATCACATTCCTAAATTGCAGGCTTTTTCCGGGAAAACTGTAAAATGCACATCGCGTAGACTCCAGGTTTACTTGGTGTTGTATCTTCCTTCCTCCAGTGTGGCTAGTTTCAGTTGTGATCATGGTTACAGTCGCCAAGGTCACAACATTTACTACACACGATATTTACGCAGGATCTCGTTAACAAGTTATGGAAATATAATGGAATCCAGGTGGATTGTGATTTTTATATTGTTTCCCGTACAATTTTCCGCACGTTGATCTTGGATAGACGCTGTTGTCAGCTTTTATCTCGTCAGTAGTTTCAAACTGTATTAGTTATCAATCCGTCATTGACCAAAAGGAACCAAGATTACACGGTTGTCGTATTGCCTCGTAAAGGAACGCCTCGATAAATGCGGCGAGTGAAAGGAAAGTCCAAATTACCTGACAACATGCTTACCGAGGTTGAGCACGTTCGCGATTTGAGCTAACGCGAGGGCAAATTGCTTGTGGCAGTCGGAGATTGAAATGACCACGACCGTGGCACCGCCGACTTGGAGTGTCGTCGTGACAAAGAGGCCGTAGGCTTTCTCTGGGGGCAGAGAACTGGCGTAGCCCGCGGCAAGTCCAATCTAAGGAAACGCAAATGTGATACATTGGGCTCAACAAAATCGTTTACTTGCATAAACAATTGTTTTAACTTGGATTACTTCAGTACAGGTCGTGGATGCGGTGCTCGTTGCCGTTTAAATGCGCCGACTCCAATTTTTTTCAGAATTTTTATCTAGCAACTTGTTTTTAATCTATTTCGAACAGTTCCCTGACTTCCGATTGGTGATAAGTTTAGGAAAATCTAATAGAATTGAATTTTCATGAAAATCCTGCTTCTTGTTATTTTAATCAAGACCAGAATATGCATATTGAAGCAAAGGCAAATTAACAGGCCTTATTAACGTTGAATTTTTGAAAGCGGATACAGTTGCTGATTAAATCACTACAAGAAGCGCCCTGCTGTCTAAAATTTGTAAATGAAATAGCATTTGTTTGTAACACTTTGGTACTGCCTAGGGTGAATTCGTTTTTCTTTCGTTAGTGTAACATAGTAAGTGCGTGTTTTTTTGGTAGCAGCCCAACTGATCGCAAAAATATGCAATGCAGTCGCTCGTAATCGGATTAGGGCAAGCGTGAATACATTCCCTGCTCTTGAGGTTATGACTTGAATTTCAGGTTTCTCTCTCTCATGCTTGAAGTTCCAGTTGAGTGAAGATCGCTACTTCATTGTTTTGGCGTCTACTACACAAAACGCGATTTCTGTGTCGCTGTTGTAGTACCGATTGGAAATGGGTGAGCAATGCACGGATTGTTGGGCGCCAGTGTGGCATTAATTCGTCGGGAAAATTACATGCCTTTAGGGGTCTGGGGAACTTCTTGGTAATTGTGCATGCATTTAGTGCTCTAATTGGACGTCTGCTTGCAAAACCCCCTACTGACGTTTTATTTCTTCGCCGATTAGTTCCTACGGAACAGCACTGTGTGCGTTGGCAGAAAGCGCGTCGAAAGTCACGTCGCCTTTTAACAAAGCGGGTTACTTGTCATTGTTTCGCGTTTGCGTAGTTTTGGACTCGTTTGACTGTACCACTTGCTTGTGTGTAAATAACTGTAGAATCTACCCGCCTTTTCATTCTCCACCCCCAAGACCTGTCTTCATTTCAAAACCTCTGGGTAGGATATTTGTAGTATTTGCTGCTAACTCATTTTGAGGGCTTCCGAAAATGTGGATTTCGTCATTGTCTCCCGGATTTGATGGCAATCGCGTTATCATTTATGGCTTGATTAACGGGTCGTGTGTTGGTGGAGGAAGACAAATTTTTTTTCTCTTGCCAGCCCTTTTTTACTGCGCGTGCATCAGTTAACTGTGAGAATTGTGTATCTTTCTGGCTTTTCCCCAACAGCTTAAGTCGTGATTGAAACCATCCCGACGCATTTCCGGTACCAACGCGAATGATAGCAACTTCCGGTGTTTTTTTTTCACTTCATTTAGCCAATGCCAGCTGTTTTGCTTCCCGACGTGTTGCATTTTCTTTTGACTGTGCATTTTTTGGGAAAAAATGTTGACAGAAAAGCCTTAACGTGGGCACAAGGCGTGCTGACTGCAACCCAGGCCGCAAATCTGTCTACTTTGAGCTATTTCACGTTTGTGTGGGAATTTTACGAAACAGCCAGTTCACTTAGAGCTGTAAAAAGAAGACCCAGAGTATTTTTTCTAAGTGACGCTTGTGTTCCACCGGGAATCATAGGCAAAAATGAGTCGGTGATGGCATTAATGGCTTCCCTTCGCCTACCTTTTAGCGTTTTAACCTTCCATATCTACCGTTTGATCGCGTGAGTCCCGGAAAGGTAATCCCCACCCCTTCAATGCACCGCAATTGAGCGTGGTAAAAACAGTTGCAAAGTAAGCGCAAACGTACACACTAGAACAGACTGGGAGACTAGGCGGCTTCCAGACTTCCCCTAAAAGCATTCTTCATAATGTGCGGGTTTGTTCACCAGTTATTGTCGTCATGGGAAATTTATTTTAATCACAAAATAGCCACGTCATATCGTTTTCTTCCTGTGGTGACACGAAGTTCCGTGTTCCTCTTCGGTGCAAGTCGCCATCCGTCTCTCTTACTCGTGGATTTATCTATAGAAGAGGCTTGCCGTTTTAAACTCAACTCAAGGGGTGTTTGTTCCCGCCAAATCCACGTAGACTCCTTTCTCTATTTTAATTATCTTCCTTGCAAGCCATCAGACAATCACGGTGAATTGTCTTCTATTTGTCTGTGTTACATTTTATTGTTGTAAGTTTACTTTCAATGCAATGACTAGGCATGCAGTTTATGGCTATCAGCACCATCATCATGCTCGTCGTTGCCTAACTACTTTTTCTTGTAGAGTCTTGTAGGGTCTTGAAAAAAAAAACCCTACTAGGGCAGGCACATTGAATTTGGCCTTACTATCATATTCTTGTTTGTAACATTTGTACTAGCCAATGACATTCTGCAACTGCAAGGGGATAATTTGATTGGCCAAATTAAGCGTGATTTTTGTCTTACACTGAGGGATCGATACGGGGGTAGCACTCCAACTGGGACTAAGGGGCTGGTAGCAGCGCTTGTTGAGGCTGCTGCAAAGCCCACATGAAATCAAACACTTTTATCTTTTCAAGTGGTCTGTCATAGTGAATGCACTTTTATTCAGATTAGTGTATTTCATCGGGAAGTTGTGGTTGACGCATGCCTCGGAATTCCCACCTTTTTTCATACTCTGGTTGCTCTCTTGTGGATGAAAGCAGTGGTTTCTTTTTATTACACCTCCTTCTGTGATGGGAGGTTTTCTTGACAGTTGGTGCGCTCACGTGGCGTAGGATGTTATCATCTGCAAACACCTGACACGAACCAAGAATAGCGATAAGCCGGAGAGACAATTCTTAGTTGGATTCTTGTTATTCTGCCATTACCACATGCTCGTGTGCTTGATATGTGTCTTCACGTCCATAATTATGCAATTAGATTCATCAACGAATGCTATTTTTAAGTGCGTGTTGACGTTGCAGCCATGGGATTTACTTTCAAGCAGCTGAAATGTTTGAACACACATGCGCGTGCATCAGGGTTAATCAGTTCCGGTCAGGGCTTCTCACAGCAGTAATTTTCCTATAAAGCAAACACACTCATTTATTATGTGTTGCCGTGTTCTCAGAGCTTGATGTTAAAGGTTTGTTTTTGAAATTTAAGATTAGCCATTAACTTGCGTTATCGAGGTGAACACAACCTACATTTCTTTAATGTTGTTTTTTTGTGCTATTTAGTGTCTTTACTTACATTAGTATCTTCTCAAGTCGATGAAAATACAAGCGTGCTTGACCACGTTGTCACTGGCATTGCAGTAGTCATAACGAACGCCAAGCACTCCTTGTCTTTAATGCAACGACTTTGTTGAACTCAGGTACTTGTGAAAGGTGGACCTATCTCAACACAAAGTTGACTTTCGAATTCCTGGTTCGTTTGTTTCCGCCAGAAACAGGATTTTGACATGACGGTTGTCATAGTTTATGTGCAACAAATTTCCCCAGTTCAAGCTCTAGCTTACGGTCTTCTTTTACATTCTACTTGTTTTGCTGGGGCTAGCTAGCGAGTGTTCGCATGCATAAATATTCCAAGCATTCTGCATTGGACACTGTGAGCAACACCTTTATTGCCCAAAACCGCTAATTGCGTCAAGTCAGGATGTTGTTGGGATGTTTTTACTCGCTCTCGGTTGTTCGCAAACAGTTTTGTCCAAAATTGGTAACCGACGCTGTCCGTATTAGTTGCGTTCTTGTGCATAAAATGAAGCCATTTTTCGTGTAAAAAGGCACCCTTGCTCAACTCTCCCTAGGTCTTGTTTTAAAAGACACCTAGCAATTATTAGTAGTTGTTGTAGCCTGCTCCAAAATACCACTTTTATGCCAGACAGCCTCGTAAACGGGTTTATGGCTTTGCTATTTCCACAATCAAGGTCTTGGCTTTTACATGCCATGAGCCAATCATTTTCAAGCCCCGACTGTTATCTGTTTATGCAATTCCGTGATTTGTAGTGCGTCTAATAAAATTCTGGGCCGGCGCCTTAGTTTGGCAGAAGCACATGTGCATTATTATTTTCCAATCTTTTGCTTCTAGTAGTTACGTGGAATCAACGAAGTCTAGGAATTAACATTTTGAACTTCGTGTAACAGTTGAGCCCAAAACCGCGTAACTTGCACAAGGTTCTGACAAATTAATTGAATTCACCAAAAACTGACGCTTGTCAAAAGCCGCGGGATTGTGAGGCGTTGAGTTTCTTTCTTATGCGGTAAAAGACCGATGTGGGTGGGAAATTTAGTCAATAGAAAATAACCTTTCTGGCCAGTCTTCCCAGATATTTCGTTAATTTTGATAATTTTTTTTGCATTTGTTGGCTGAACAACAAGCTAGCTTAAGCCAGTTTGTGAGGAGCCATTAACGCGGTCATGCTAACATACTGCATGTTTGGAGCTTATACAAAAAATTGCAGCCCACAATCGCTAATACTAATGGCACCAATAAACATTTCAATTACCACACCAAGTCGTGTGTGCGTGAAAGTACTCGATTTGTCGTAAAACAGCCAACTCTTACTTACACCAATCAGTCTTCGTCCACATGCAATTACGGACAGCCGACTTCACTTGCTTTTAATGCGCATTACAATCCGACGAGCACAATTCATGCGGGCCACCATCGACCAGCCACCCGGCTTTTTCCCGCGGCCCTTTTTTATCCGCTCGAGTTGTACGTCCCGCGAATGCACAGCGTTGCCCGTGGTTGCATTAAGCCACAGCACTTTGTCAGGGTTTTAATGGCGCGTTGTGCGTAAGGGGGAGTGATTTATGAAAGATTTTTCGTCGAGATAAACTGCACCTCTGGTTTGCCCTCGTTTCCGGTTTCCCTTCATTACTGATTCCATTAAGTTTGCTGCCGGAGTCAGGTGCATTTGTTTGCATGCGAAAAATAAATCAACCTAGTTTCGTGAGGCGCAAATCAGGTCGCTTGTACAATTTTTTGTGGATCTATTCAAGCGCCTTAAAGGCCGTTCTATCTGTTCATTCACGAGAATTCACTTTTTACGTCATCGCCTTATATTACATAATCAAATTATCGCATAGCCACCATGTCCCCGTTATACCAAATGCTAACGTCGAATTGAGGTTAAACAGTGCTTACAAATTATTCGAAGGTAGCACATATTTACCAAGTACCCGAGCTCATTCGAAACTCTAGTTTCGATAGCTCTTGAGGTCAATAAAAAACTGGTGAATTTCATCTTGACGTAGGGCCTTCAAACTTTGTCGTCTGGCTCCAAAATATGGAACCATGCTAGGTTGTGGCCCAAGCGCAGAGAATGTAGAATATACTGGCAGGGTGGGCGCGATCAAAAGTAGGGCAAATTCCTCAACGGAATATCTCGTCTCCTTATCTCTAGTCAACGGTTTGTTTGTGGATGGTTATGACTTACTTGACAGTGTTTTTCATTGTGGCGTTACCATGGCACCGTCGCCTTTCCAAAAGCAATAAAAATAAGCAGCTCGTGTTCTGATCTGCTGTCAAATGCCACGTGGGCATCAAAATTGACATCTGTCAAAAAACCGGCAAATCTGCTCAAAAAAGTTCAGCAATTTTGGTGTTGTTGTCGTCACAATTATGCGCCTTAGGCTGTATTTCGGGCAAGAAATGTGTTTTTTACGCATTATTAAGCAAAGTTGAAATCTAGTTCACTCGTGCCATGGCAATCTGCTGCTATTTTTCTACTGCTGTAAAATTTGATGGAAATCAACTGTCTCCAATTCAAAGGGACAATGGATTTAAAAGTGTCTGGCTTGCAGACCCTAATCACTTCGGGAGCTCTCCAACCCACCCTCACCCACCCCCCACCCCCAGTGTTGACTTAAACTGCAAATGCCGCGGCGGCAGGTGTTTTACTGCCTCCTCTAATTGGACAAAGGGGGGGGGAGGCGTTTTGAACGGCCGTGAAGCTGTGCTCGTTCTGGTGACATTCCATTTTCACGTGGCCCAATTCCCAACAAGCATCGTGGACAAGGCGCATAAACGCTTTTTAGGCGATCGACATTTTCAAAGACAATATCGGTTTCGCAAGGTGCTAACAAGTTGGATCTATTCTGATTTGTATTTTCCAACTGACATCCCCATTTTAATGCTAAACAAGTGGTCACCGTTTGCATCCAAAGTAGAACATGCTGACAAGGTTTTGAGTGAAGATTTTGCGCATATTATTCAAGTTTAATCGACTTCTGCAAGCCTTTTAAGAGCAACACCAAGGCTTAGTTGGGTTTTTCGGTAGTCTAAGGTGCCCTGACGTCTGGTAAAAAAATGATTTCTTTTGTCTTGTGAAATCCACCTCCTGGTTCCATACTACTTTGTACTTTTTATCAAATTTAAAATCAAACCCGTGACTCATTTTCAAGTAGACACATGATCTGCCCAACTGTGGGTACCTACACCTTCAAGCACAAACGTCACAATTTTGTATCTCTTGGCTTTTCTCATGCCAACACAAAGCTGAAATTATTAGTGAATTTAGCTTTACACAGCAGTCTGATGCACAATTAATGCCAGTTTTTTTTTATATTTTAAATGCCTTAGATAGGAGTTTTACTTGTGTTATCAATGCCTCTGCAGTAATTTCAACAGTGGCTAAGTTCACGAGTAAATCTTTTCATAATCATTGTTCATTTATTTTAAATGAACACCGTGTAAGCGGACATTACACTTGCACTAACTGCTACTTCAATTTATGACCAGCTAACAGGAATCCTTCAATTTGAAGCCGGTGTTTTGTTTAGCAAGCACCTACAGGTCCAGTTTACCTGCAGTCTGTCAGCTCCCCATTGATTAATTGGCCATCACCTGAGCTTCACAAATGAGATTAGTTGCTGGCGCAAGCCCCCTTTCCCGGTTGCCTTTTTCTCTCCACGCGCACTCATCAAACAGGGTGAACCTCTGGTCTCGGAAGGGCATGTGATCAGAAAAATTCACGTCTCATCCACTTTTGCTGGCTGCTTTTCGTCTCCTTTGCTCACTGATTATTCTAACCGTTTTCACTGCCATTTTAGAATCGAAGATGCAAATGTTCGCTCGTAATTTTGTCTCTACCTGTTAAACGACGATGGGCATTGGATGTAAATAGGAAAAAAATGGTGTTCAACTTGCCCCACGTCTACCATGTAAATTATTTGGTGAAATTAACCATCGTTCTAAGGGCATCAGAACAAATGTTCACACTATACCCAGGTCGGTCGTTTGATTACGGATCCGAGTGCTACTTATCAGAAGCCATTATCCTTATCACCCACGCCACACATGTTATTAGGTTTGGACAATCTCGCAGAACATCAAGTGTCGTGTTGTCGCGAGCCATGCCACAAGAATGGGGTGCAAGCGTATGAACACGAAGGCAGAGTAATTTCTGAAATGCATGTCATGATTGGCTTCTTATTATTTCTAATGTAGGACACAGTGCATGAGCCAAATGCGAGAGTGAATATAAAAATGTGAACAGCGTGTTTTAGTAGCGATCTTTACTACCACCTGTGTGCTGCGATTTAAGGGTAGTAATTAAACCTGATTTTGGTCTTTACTAACTAAGTTGGACACGCAAGCAGTAAGGGAAACGCATAAAATGGAGGTAATGGTTTTTTGCCTTACCAATGGAGTTACGAGGAGGTGGACGACAAGACCAATCCCAATCGGCAGTGCTCGTTTCAATTGTTTTCGGAAAGCCCTTGGATCTGTGCTACATCCGGCAGACAGGGAAATCGTGCAAGCAATGAAGAAAACAGCCCAATCGAAGACCGTGTAAAATATCTGCGGCTTTAGGAAAATAGTCACATGTGAAGCCGTAGCATTACCTCCCGGTATTACGCCCTGTGCAACCAGGGTTATTTCGAACTGCCTGCGCTTGTTGGCTGTCTTCTTTCTCAACTCCTTCTCACTCAGCGCTGAGGGTATCGGTATGTCATCAGGCTGCTCTGTCGGCGTAGAATTAATCCACACGAGTTCCACACGGATGTCACTCCTTCCAAGCAGGTTGGCCTCCACCCAGAAGTGAATATTAGCCAGCTCCGGTGTCACGGGTGTGTAGAGTATCGCACATAGTGGAAAATGCTTGCATTCCTCGTATTTCGTGGACATGTCCCCTGTTGATTCAAATCTACTTCGTATGACAGGATCAACGTTAGGCGATCGGCTCACGATGGTTGAATATCGGTTTTCAGAGAAAAATCGATAAAAGAGGTTACCTCGTGGCTGGCCATCTGGGGAGACCTGTTTTATGACTTCTGCGGGCTGATTACAACAAGAACAGTTCACGACAAAGAGCATTGTTTCCCCCGACTGAAGCACGGGCTGTTGTGGTGTGTTGGGTGTGTTTGGTGAGGACTTGGAGTAGGCCTGGGGCAGTTGTTTGGATCTAGACAGTTGAGGCCAAAACTGGAGGTCACAGTCGATACAGAATGCCACTCGCAGATGCAATAAAACAACGAGGAGAATAGGCTTGTCTATTCTAAGCATTTTGCAAATGCTGCATTCTCGTTAGACCATGCCTGCGCTTGCATCCAAAATTTAAGCATCGCAAGGAGCCAATTGGATGCGAGGATGGACAGCCCCAACAACTGGTTCAGACGCATGATGCAATTGACATTCACATGACCGTACATTAAGGCATAATCGTGCAGGGTTATTTACTACCAGATACATTGTCGTTGCATAAAATTGTCATCCCCTAACCACACATTAATCTCCAAAGGTGTAGTCGTCCATTTTCCTTTCTACCTTTCCAATTTTAATTCCTACTTTACGATACCTAAATGTTTGCAACCAAAAGATGGTTAGTTGTTTTTTTAAACTCCGTCAGAGGCGGGGGGCTTCTTTCGAATGACTTTCCTGTGACGTGCAATTTATGTTTCGACGTAGAAGTTACGCATTGTGACGAGTTGAACAGGTCACTTACAGACATCTGCCTGGGGTCGCTGAGCGTTTCAATACACGATTATTACACCGATTTCGTAGTTAAATTAGTATTAATTTTCGACCGTTTGGCATGTTTTTTGAGGAGGTGGGGTGGGTGTGATTAGAATTCTTGGGTCATTTATTTGAAATTGATATAAATACCCGTGAAAAGAGGAATATTGCTCCCGATATTTGCGTCTTTGACGTATTCAGGTTTATTAAAAGTGTTTTAAAACGTGGCGTGAATAACAGTGGCGGCTTAGACCCTAGGAGACGGACACACCGAAAAGAATAACAACCTAGAAGATCCAGAACGGAAACAAGTATACGTGTTATCTGCTGAAGGGCAAACTGAACAGTGTTTAACGGAAGTCAGTATAGTTAGGTAATGGGTTTCGAGGAAGAACACGACAAATGTTACACATGGTATTTCCCTGGGTGCCTCGTCTTGTAATCGATTTGGGAAACTCAAATCTATTACTCCTTAAACAGACAGTAGCTATTTGCTACATTTTTTCTGAATTATTGAATGTTCGGACACCAGTTAGGCGTGTTACGCAATTTTCCCGCGGTGAAAATTTATATAATTATATTATCCACAATAAATGGAAGCTTTGTGGTGCAGAGCAACTGTGAAGCAGTCTTTTCAGTTACAGGTAACGATGTAATGTGTATACAGTGTCTTTAAGTGAATCCCAGGCTAACCTTTCTGACCTCGCTCAACATCCTAACAACGCGTAACACGAGGCACTCTAAGTCCTCATTGACTCCTCATTCCTCTTTCTTTTGCTACGCGCTATTTTCATCGAGGTGAATGTTGTTAAATAATGTTAGAAACCATTTTACGGTGTGGTTGATATTTGGCACCGCACAAACGCAGATGCCTTCCCAGAATAATCATTTAACCCACCATATCTGACCTTTGCAGATTATTAATCAAGTAAATGCCTGCATCGACATTTTGGTATTCAGGACAAATAACGAAATGCCCGTAAAGTTTCAGAAACAGGCCACACCTTTAGCTTGTGACATGTCAAAGAACTGGCTCTTGCGTTGATTCACTTGTGCTGTGCATAGGCTGCAAAACCCAGCCTCTCGAGTCAAAACTGCTCTGAGTTACGTGGTTTGCTTTTCTGACCGTGCATTCTCGCGGTATTTCCGAAAGCGGTTGATTTTTGAAAAACATCCCACCGACTCCTGCAGGCATTGGTGCGCAGAGCCGTCACGGCGTCCTATTTTGCCTTCACACCGCTAAAACGGCCGTTCTAGAGCCGGACTTCTTAGGCGTGATTGAGTGTGCGAATCTCATTGGTCAGTCCGCTGCATTTTTCATGTCCAAAAGTACTTCTTTGACTAGATCTAGGCCTATTGTTGTGCAAGATTGCCTACTTTGTGAAGTATGTACCCTCCTGTTTAAGAGATTATGCCTCTTCAAACCTTTTAGCAGGTACTGATTTCCTTATAATTTTTTGGTAAACCGGACGGTCTTAATAGCAAATTTTTTCACTTTAAAAAGTGCATCTGTTCCTTGGTGTCTACGGACTGTTTACTTGCAGGGCTGTAAGGCGGTGCAAGCAAATCACTACAAATCGCTTTTGTTTTATCTGTTTATACCGTTATACATTTAGGTTAAGTCTCCTGGACACTGCACGGCACTTACCGAGGTAAATGTTTACGGCGTTTGTACAGTTTACTGAAACTTAAGGCTCAGAATTCTCTTATTGAATTTGAAAACCAACTTTGCTAGACATGGGCACCAAAACGTCCATTTCATTCAAGCTGACACTATTTCCAGTCCCCGGTGCACGCACCAATCGCTCTAAAATGGGAAAAATGTAGTCTTTGGTGAATTTATTAACGTTTTGTGTGTTAACCCCTTCTCCAGAGCTTGTTTCCACTTTTAATTTACTTGCATCTGACCAATAAGCCACAGTAGTAGTTGAATCGTTTTTAGCGCCTTAGTAGCCTACCGCTGAAACATTCGGTTGCGGCGTACTCTTTTCACTTTCACGCCACCTCTAACGCTGAACCGAATTCTGCAAATTGATACGCCCACCTGTGCTTGCGGTAGACAAATTGCGCAATTTATGAGTCCTCGGCTACAAACTATGGAAGTGCGTTTTAGTACGAGCTTTTATTCCCCGTTTGAGAAGCAAGGTAAACTCATTTATTCACATAATGCCCAGATTCCTGCACAAAGTTAAGTTTTTATTTCGTCCCATTCAAAAAGCGAATGAAAAACAGATGTCTTATTCGTGAGGAAAAATTGGTCTTTAATTGTTTCTACCAATTTCTCACTTTAGTCCCACCTTCTCACGCCAGCCCCAAGTAACTTGTGAAAATACGTCTCGCAAAGTTGTCCCGTTTCCTTACTTGCCACACTCTTCGTTTGGTATTCAGGTTGATTTGAGTTGAGGGGATTGTGTCGTCATATATCTTATAACATGGGCCATATATGTACTTTACCGTTTCTGGTCCGTTTGTGTTAATTGTTTGAAATGGTAGTCGCTCACGTCCACATTGAAGTAACCAACAAAAATTGAACATTATTTATGCCTAGTTCTATCGTCTGGGCTGTAAACCTGCGGGGACATCTGAATAAGTAAACTTTATAGCACGGTTTGGGGTCTCTGCCGTCTGTAAGTCCGTTGTGACACACGGCAATTGGTTGTTTGTGATCTTCAATGAAATTGGGTAACACGCATGTAAATGACGACTTTAGGGGTTAACCGTGTTAGAAGTCGATTGCGTCACATCAAAATATGCAGACGCGCTACTTTTCGGTGGTTCAGCATGTGTAGTGGTATTCTAAAAACCAAAAACTAATTAAATGCTTAGGAGTGGATCGGTGAATTCGTTTAATTAAATTTGTGGTTACACCCTCAGACACCTTGCAGTTGACAGAGCGGAAACGTTTCTAGGGGAACATAAGGTGATGTCGAGGTCTCACACATGCCAGCGTTTCTCATGATCGATGAGCACTACCTGTTGAACACGGTATATACCTAAGCCTGGTACTTTTGATGCATCTCGCGGCTAGCGACCTGGTCGGTTGAGGCAACTGGTACTGATGAGTTGCAATGTTGGTGCCATTGTGTTTTGTTGCTGTCAAGTACTTTTTACTGCCAAAACCGCATGACCTCGAACTACCTTGAGCTGTCCTGGTGTCGGTTAGCAAAACAATGTGAACTCGAGAAGTGAATTGACAGGGTCCTAATGGAGTACTGATAAGGGTAGTTGTGAGGTCACAAAGTGGATTTGACTGTCCAATTGAAGGGAATTTACAAAAATGAGAATTTGTTTTACGCCATCATTGGTATACTAACAGACCTGTTTGTCATTGTTCTAGTAGTTCCTGGTTTATTTTAATAATCCAATGCATTCTGTTTTTTTTCGCTTTTCATCATTTACTGTGTTTCCCAGGCTCCTCTTTCGACAAAGGTAACAAAATAGGTATCTTGCTCATTTTATTCCGTGGGTTGCCTGGGCCAAATTTGTGAGAACCAGGAGAGATTTTAATACTTAGTGTGATCAGCGGAATCGCCGTTTTTAAATATTAATTTGGCTATGTTTTGGCTCCACCATACAAGGTAGCACTTTTCTCTGTCGCGCTAAATTTTTGCTTTGATGTTCAATTGTTGTTCCATCAATTTAAACCTAATCCCATTTTTCACTTATGCATACTCCATGGTGAATCTTCTTTATGCGACAGCTGTTTTGGACGCAGTAGAAATCTTTGCAATATGAATACTCTTTTGTTTCATGGTGAACCTTTCTGGCGCATCCGTTTGGGCTCCCCTTTTACTATTTGTGACTCCTTTTGCCACCTCAAACCTCCCTGAACTTTCACCAATTTTTAGGGATCATCGAGACTGTGTGTGTGTGTGTGTGTTTTAATCATGCTCGTCCTCTCGTGTCACAAACTCAACTACATTCATTGTGTTTCAGCTCGTCGCCTCAATCGACCTTCCTTCGTCACGCTGCCTCCAATTTTCGCTGAACCCCTCGCCGACAACTACGCCGGCGCTCTGGCAAGCGCTCAGTTCGATAATTATCGGGCTCTTCTTGGCTTGGGGTCGGAATTGCAGTTGGCGTTGGGAGGGCCAAGCGATCTGTTAAACTTGCCTCAATCATTCGGGTATGCCTCCTGTGTTCCCTCCTCCTCGCTCTACCAGTTTCACCAAAGTGCTGCTAATTCGCGTTAAAGTGTAGAGTCGGAATCGATGGTCTGCAGTGTTGAGATTCGGTGGTTGCTGACTGAGGTGTCGTGTGTGCTTTTTTGAAGCGGAACTTGTCTCGTCACCGTGGTGGCCAATTTTATTGACTACCACTAAAGTAGTCACCATTGGCCTCGGACAGGTTCATCTGGCCATTCATTCGGCCAACCATAAAACTTGTTTTGATACCGAATTTCGCCTCCGTTCATTTATTATGCTTTTACGTGTCACCTTACCTCGAAGCCGTTTATTATTAGTACAGTTTCACATAAACGCCACTCTTATTGCGGCTGTACGTAGTAAATTTCACATTACGTAGAGGGACGGCAGCGTATGCCGTTTGCAGCAAACCAATTTGGTCTGCGCTTACTCTTTGCGGTGGTTAAACTCGACTTACAAAGTCAGCTTATTCTCAATGTCCGTTTTGATCAAACGACAAGATTTTCTAATTGCACTTCCGGACTGCCAGTTTTGAGTGGTTGTGCAAAGTTCGTTCTAGATGGCTGACGAGTCTTCAAGAGACCTTCGAGATCCCCTGTCGATTAATCCGAGAAATGACACCGACTTTATTCCCTCACTGGGTGTCAGGGTGCCTGCACGAGTTTTTTTATATTGTTGGTTATCAATTCGTTGTTAATTTCCAAAGTGCATTTCGTGCTGTACACACATGAGTTTTATCATGTGCAGTTTTATGATTTTCCTGCTTCAGTTTCATCCTACTAGAAATGAACTTTCCTGTGTCCTACTCCACGTAATGTCCCAGCTAGTCGTGACCTGTGAAGATTTTTAGTAACAACGGATCTGCATGAACCTATCACGGTCATCAAGCTTTCCATCCTTGGCTTTATTAGTTGTGCTGGTGAAATCACATTGGCTGCGCCGAGTTGGACCGAAAACGGAACTTTTCCACCCCCAATTGCTGATTTTTATCTTAAACCAGAGAGAAGGCAGCGAAACTACTGAATTGAAAGTGACGGTTTAATTGAATTGGCATCAGTTCAAGCGAAACTCCTTGCACGGGTTGGTAATCCGGACCACTTAATGTCTCTAGGCATAATAATGGAAAATTCCTTCAAGTCGTGTAACCCAGTATTAATACTTTGCTCAAACCGTTAGCTTATCACTTTCCTCCTGTTCCACAAGCTTTTTTAGCGTCACAATATTTGACAGTAGAATTGTAGTGCGTAATTAATGTCTTCCATAGCCCTTACAGTAAACGGTCTTGAAATGGATGGCTACTTTCCATCTTCCTAAATTCCGTCTTGTCGCACATCGCGGAAAGTTAGGGGCTAAGTTTTCCAATTTGTTCTTCATGAATTAGCTCAATAGTTGGCTGCCGTGATCGTGATGCAAGTTTTTGCATTTTACCCAACGAAGTCCTTGTCCTAGTAGTAGGGCGGGAAGTAGGGGGTGACGGTTAACCAAAATTTCTACCTTTCGTGCCTCCTTATTAATCATTCTTCCCATCATTCTCTCTCCCGTGGCACATTTGATGCGCAGCTAAGGTAGGTGCGTTTGTCCTACTTCTATGCGTAGATGTGCGCAGTTGCGCTCCACAACTGGGCATTCTATTTGCAAAGACGGAAAACCTTCTGCCAACTTGTCCCCTTGTCTTTGAATTAATGCAACTCCAGACCTAAAGGCATGTGAATAATTAATTTAATCGTATTCAATGATTTATTTGCTCACTTCACAGCACCCTGTTCCTTGGTGAGACATTCTCGTGCCACATCAATCTTCACAATGAAAGCCAATTTGAATGCAAAAACGTCGTTCTCAAGGTGGGTTATTTTTTGTGAAGTGATGTCTGTAAAATTTAAGTGGTCTCAAGTGTCATTAGAGTATACCTCGTCACACTATTTTATCCTGTTGTTAAAATATAATATTAAATGATACCTTTACCGTGGTAAAATCCAATTTTTATCGGTTCTAACGAGCCAGGTTTCCCATTTTTCGTGTATAGCTTTTCCCAATGCCTGGTTGTTATTTGAGGAAGTGTCGTGTTTTGGCAAACCTAGACATCGTTCTCTTATCACCAATTGTCTTCTCCATACTTTATTTACAAATGCGTCCGTTTTTTTTGTCGTGTGTTCAAGTTGCGTCGCGGTGAGGCCGGCCTTTAGTCAGTGCTGTGTTGCCAAAGTGAATTTCCTCCTAATACTCAAGCACTTTTTAATGCCTGCTACTGTTCACGGTAGTTGTGTTTTGCTGTACAGCAAACAATGGATCACGTGTGGTTCCGAATGAAGTTTTGGCATCAACTGATCATACCTTTGTCTCCTTATTATTTAAGCGCCTGGCAGCCTGAAATAATCACGGTTTGCTCGACATCCGAAGCTCTGTCGGAGATAGCTTGATTAGTTGTAGTTATCCGTAGTTAAAGCAAACGTATAAAGGCACTAGGTTTCGTCTTGTAGAATATAATCAATATTGTTTTGGTAGTTACATCTTGTCAAATTCGGTTGAAGAAAAAATATTTTATGCAATTGTATCAATTGTAAATGCATATATTCATAATTTTTTGATCGGAATGTTTCCATTAAGTTCATGTGAGCTCCAATCCAGCATTCAAAAAGTCTTGTGTAGATCCAAAGACGTTGTCCACTGCTATGTTAATGCTCTCTAGCATGGAGAGCGGTGTAGATATTACTCAGCCAATGACATTTTTCGTGTTGCTTGCAAAATGTGAGGTCGGATTTTGGGTAGAAAACGGCTAATACCCTCTTATTCGCTAATGATAGGCGTATGACTCAGGTTTTTGCTATCAAGTTTTGCATTCGGCTATGGTAGTCGTGCATGCCTAAAGTTGCACCAGGTCTACGCAACCCTTAGCAAACCAGTTCCTTGCGATCCCATGAAAATATATTTAGCGCTTCGGCATTGATGATACAGGTTATTCAAGTGGAACGTGAAGTTTACTTTTTCCCTTAATTACACAAACCGCAATTCAGGCGTGTTGAATTGATTGTTCAGTCACGTTTCCTGTTTTAAGGTGACGTAAATTTGAGAGTTGTGATCCGATTTTTGCGACAGTTAGAGTGAATGACTATCAAAACTACAAACCAACGTCAGCGGCTTGTGGTCAAAGTGGGTGATAAAGGAAATGCTTAAAGTGTTTGACTTCGGCGTAAACAGCTAGAAGTTCATACTGCTGAACGTTTGGCTCTCGCCTTTCTGATCACGGGTAATCATAAATAGTACTACAAGCAGCCAAGTCACACTGAAGTCGAATGTTGATCTTTCGTTTGCCAGCTACTTAGCTATGTTTGAAAGACCGTAGTCAAAGTCGACATACATCACATCGAAACTACTTTTCTATAGTAATAATGGCGTAGCCCTGTTCAGGGCAAAAGGATTATTTACTTTGTCGTTAGTGGCTGAGGCAGGAAAGGTAATTGGCGCAGGGTGATTCTGTCGAAGAATATATGACCCCATTGCTGTATTTTTGCAAAAACTAATCGTGGCGTTCCCTTTTGCCTGTGTTTATTTTTTACCCAAAGTTAGGACTGCAGTAATTCCCTTCATTATTCGCCACCCTATGCTATTATGGGGGCGTACTGCATTCTAACTTAAGCTGGTGAGTTGGGGAAAATAACGCTTTTCGCGTAAACAGAGATGAAACACTGCATTTTATGAAAACAGAAGGCTGATCCTTGGTCTCAAGGATGATCATATATCTAAATAATTCAGATTTACACACATTTGTTGGCATGACTCAGCCCTTGCGTATCGAACATAAAAGAAATGCGAAAATTTTCATTATTTGGCTAACTAAAGAACGATGTTTTTGTTTGCACCGAAAAAGGGCAATTCCCTCTGACTGATGGGCCAATTTTCTGCGGTGGATTGATGAGGTTGTTTAGACAGAGCGATAGGATTTTACTTCCTAACGTTTTGTCGTGGTTTACGACTAGAACGAAGAGCTACCTGTGGGTAAAAAACGGTCTTGTTTGTGATTTTATCCCGAGTAGGTGCGCGTTAGAGCTGTTTGCCGTAAATGTGCATGAATCGGGGGTGCTTTTGATTCAGGTCAATTATGTCTTAGGTGTGATTAAATCCAAATGTGGTGAAATTCCATTTGGTGACTGCATGTGTGTTAATAAATTCGCTGGACGCTTTATTCAGGCGAGGTGGCCCTGATTATTACCAACTAGACCACACCCCAAAGTATTTGGTGTGATAAAGTAATTTGGCTTCTGTTAGTGTGTTGGTGGTGGGAGTGCCAGTCCAAGCTTTGTTCGTGGGACCCTCTCGGCCGATGTACACCTCGCGTTACGTGGGGTCGGGTGCCTTCAGGGCGTGGTTGCGTGGGGCTGTAGCCGGTTGCGAAGCAACCATCGCAAGCATGAAGTTTCAAACCATCAATAATTTACTCGCCTTTTACCAAATTTAAGCAGTTAAAGGTTTATGCACAATCCCTAAAATTACATGGGTCAAGTACGCGTGTAAACAATGTAAATCCACAGTGAGGGAATCGAGGTTTGGTAAGTTAAAGGTGTGTTTTTCCTGGGTTCTTTAGTAATGACGTAAATACAATTGTTGTGTTCGCGTTGCCTTCAAGGTGGCTATTCAGGGGAGGAACGAGTATGTTCCCCTGCAGCCGCATGGCATCAGTGCCGGACAGCTGCCGTCCGCGGCCGACATGGGCAGTGGAGGTGGCGGCGGCGGCGGCGTTGGGTGCACCCTTGGACCGAACGAGAATCTCAACGTCATTTTCCAACACGAAATGAAGGACCTGGGCGCAAACACCTTGGTGTGCTCGGTTTCCTACACAGTTCAAACACAGTCCCCCCTGCCTTCCCTTCCCCTAGCCTTCCCAGCCCGACCTCCACCTAGTAGTGAGTTGATTGGTCCGTATTCATGCTTTATTTTGGCTTCATTCTCTCCATCTGGTTGGACACATAATTTCAGCTTTGACGTAACGAAATCTGATTCGCAAGCTGAACGAGACGGTGGTCTGCGGCGCTTCACAGGAAAAGTGCTTCGTAATTGCCTTTGCTAAATGAGCACCGCCATTTATAATGGTGCATCAATCTTTCTTAAAAAAAACCCCACGTCACTTAAACGTCAACAGTTATGTTAGCTTCGGATCACAATCCTCTTACTGACCTGCCAATAGTCGAGGTCTGTTTCTAAATTTATGACTCACACAATTGCCTCTCTAAACTCCACTTTCCTATTCATGTTTGGTGAAGTTAATTGGCGATGGCCCTGCCCCGGCAATTGATTGTCCACGCCCATTTTTTCACATTTCTTGATTGTCCTAAAAAGGAACCACGAAGCTGCTTGCGGTGGAGGCGGGAACGGCGACATCTGGCTACCGTAAGCTCCCTTTAAGGCCTGGGCTCGTGACATTCTTATAAATTAAAACCGGTTTTGTTCGAAATTGTTACGATTTCAACGATATCTCGATTGCCACTGCTAGGTTCTGTATCTGCTGTTACTCAGTTACGCGTACAAGTTCATTACTTGACCCAAATTGGCAAAGCAACCATGCCCAAAGAGGTGACAGCCGTTTAACTCGTTGTGGAAAATATTGTCGATAAAAGTCTTCTTTACACCGAGGTTTTTTTGAGTAGACGGAATGTGACTTGCGGTGTATGCGTCAACCCGAGTGACATCCCTGGTACTGCCCCTGAAGTTGTTCGAATGCAGCTTGTTCATGGGACACATGATTCTACGTGTCGGGCTTACAATCGCTCTGATTTACCGATTGTTAAGGCGATCAAATGGAACGCCCACATGGCTTAACCATTTACAGTACTTGAGCTTAAATGTTTGTTTTGACATCAAACTGCGCACTCCCATAATCTCATCGAAGCTGTCCTGTCATTTGGGTGCGTGGGTGCGTGCGTATTGCGCACCGCGCCATGCTGAAAGCACGAATAGGCTCTGCCTTACGCCTGAACGAGTACGCGGTGGCGGTAAACGGGACATCGAAAAAGGGTCGTATTTAACGAATTAAAGTGCCTGTATGTGTTTATCTAGTTGATTGGCTTGCTTTCGTACGACTTTGAAGTTGCCTAACCTTGAGGCACCTTCTGACAAGACGCTTTTTACAAGTGCTTGTGGTCAGTCCTCAGAATTGGGGGATCGAAGTTGCGCTGATGTAGCTTGGGGTTTCCGTGGCGAAGTTGGAGCCCCACGTTTTGGCGGATTTTATTGACTCATCGACTGAGTTGAACATTAGAGCTGTACATCTTTTTTATTTTAAAATCATGTGGTTCGACGTTGAAGATCTGTGACAATGCCAGAGAACCAGGGTTCTAAGACAGCATGTTCTTCAAGCGAAACCTGAGAGTGCGCGTCTTTAAAAAAAACTCACGAAATCTTGCTGGTTATTTGATTGTAAAAGTCAGAGAACTATCTGAAGCTAGGGAATCCTGGAAGTCCTATCTCGAGGGTAGTCGAGGCGTCTGCTTTGAAAGCTCGCCAATGTGACATACGAGGTGCGTTATTTGACTTGATGGTAATAATGTAAATTTAAACTACGAATTCATATTCACCACTGGAAGGGCCATTGTTTTCCCAGGTCTTGCATGGTCCTGGGTCGCTGTTGAAGCTTAAACCTAGGTAGATTTGGTTTGACGAAAGCGTGAAGCAACTTAGTACCAATTGTTTTGACGCGCAGAGACGTGTTTCCCAAGAAAACGTGGAAAACAAGCTAAAACCCACCCTCCCTACTCTGCATCAACGTCTTCAGAGTCTTTTTGGCAATTGTTTTCGATGTAATCCCTGGGAGGCACTCCAGTTAATTTTGGCCTACCTGTATCGTTATACTGCCATGTCGATGTAACAGAATGCGTGTTTTAGTAAGTGGCATTTTCTGTGCAAAGTCAAGCTATGTGAACTTTAGTTTTAATCCTGAGTGTAACGCATAGGTTGCTAGCTCGTCTTCCCCTTTCGTCTCTGCGTGGATTCTAACTAACAAAATTTGTCAATCAGGCCAATAAACAGATAATGAATAGTGGATCCTGTTTTTAATGTCAGATCTACGGGACATAATGCAAAAGGCGACACAAGCAAACAACACATGTCATTTAACACGGTGTATCGCAAATCACGCTGAGTGTAGGTTAATTTTCACTGATCTGAGTGGTTTTACGTGCTTATTATCTCCACAGGGTTAGAATTGCCCGTCTGCACTTTCTTTCATGGTCGCTTGCAAGCCAAGCAACTTTCAGTCAATCAGAATCGCCAAAAAGGTGGCAGTCAACCCAACAACTTATCAAGATCCTAGTGCTAGTGCATTCTGCCAAATCTGGCTGTCGTTGTACGCCATCGTTGCGTTTCGCGCAGTCAAGTCGTGCCCCTCATTACTCGGACGCACGCACTGCCTCGTTTTTCGGTCGGACAGTGATTGTGTGATGCGTTTATGCTAACCAGCACTGTATGAGCCCGCAGCAAATCGGTTCCCAGGCTTCTGCTAATCCATTAAATCTGCTGCCAAAAATGAACGAACTACTCCCTCCCTTTCCTCTAATTGTGTGTATTTTTTTGGTACTGCAGATGAGGAAATTGGTCCAAGGCCAAGTGAAACACCGTATAATTTTATGAAAAATTTCAAATTTATGGTACGTACTATTCCTTCATATTTTAAAATGCATGTAAAAAGCGCAATCACGCCACAACTCTGTCCGAATAAGCTATACACGCAAGCATGTGTATTTGACCAAGTCAAGGGCTCAAAAAGTCATTGTGTGGTAGTCCTGAGATTGTAATGTTATGGCGACTGTAGTGAATCATGCTGATTCACGTTAAACACCCCGGTCACTGCAGCCTCACACACATGTCCCTCCTTTTCACGACCTGCCCGTCAGTCACGTGAGGCCGCTGGTTCACTAACCACTCTGCATGTCCCACCACCACCACCCCGTTTAGTCATGGTGACCTCACAGACACCTGTGTTTATTTTTGTACGTGTCCACCCAAACGTAGTTGTACACGACACAATTTGGTTGAGCGGTCTAGTAAACGGTTGTGTCTTCTCCACTCCGGTCTTCTTTATCTTCGCGGGAACACAGGGTACCGTATTCGGCGTAGGTTGTCGCAGTCGCCCCGGCGTGGTTTAAGACAACACGACCCCTTGCGGTGACTGGAATACATAGGGAGGGGGGCGGGTTCGTGAAATGCCAACTCATTGATCAAGTGCTTGTATTAGACGTAACGGAAAACACGCAGGGCTACATTGTGCTGGTGTTGTTGTTCTGTAAAGGCTCAGGCACGGGTCTCAAACCACACCGGGCCCCAACTTTGTGAGCTCGGCTAAACTATGGGAGGATCAAGAACACACTGGAGTTCGAGAGGACACGTTTATGAAATGGCTCAACTCTGGTGTTTTTTCGTGTGGGCGTGTGCATTCAAAGGCAAGTATTCTTCTAAGTATCAAACGTGTCCAGAGGTGACATGACAAATGAGGATTGTTGACCGATAGAGTTCGTATGAACTAGCTTCTGAATGGCAAGATGCCTAGTGTGAGTGGCATGATCATACGTGCCCGCACGAGTGATGGTGACCCTACAAAGGGGGGCGCTGTGTCTGAGTATGCGACAACAGAGTTGGTGGACGTGAGTCATCGCGACTCCATGTCTGCTAAGATATTTCGTGTCCAACAGAGTCCTTATGATTCGTTTACTCCGAAAAGATAGGGGCAACGTCTCCTGGATCGGATCTGCGGCTGTCCTTCTTAGCTGGAAGGGCAGCCAAGTCACAATCGAGGCGTCTTCGGGATTTGGTTTTGTATCACGTTGATATCGCTTAGCAATTTGGTAAATTCTTGTGAAAATTATACAACTGCACGGCAAAACAGGAGGAGATATTTGGTCACTTCCTGAAATTTCGGGATCTTGTCATTAAGTCGTGGACGTTTTGATGCCATCACGTCGAGGTCACCAAATGCAGTAGCTTGGGACTTAGCACTACCTTAAAACCCTCCAGTTAACAGCCCGCAACAACCCGAGAAGGATGAAACAAGAGGCGACAGAAGACACGACCGTTTATTAGCGTCACGCCAGCAAAGTATGTGTCTTAGTGTGCGGTGAGTGAGCGGATGACGTGCGTCTGATAACAGTAACCAATGAAAAGAGGATGAGTCATTGTCGCCGTTAGGTCAGTAAAGAGGGTCCACTCAGGCGCGATCGCTGTTAATCCGCTGCACCTCCTTACTATCCCTTGCGTTTTTTGTCTTTTATCACAGGTTGAGAAACCGTTCGATTTTAAGCAAACATCAGTTGCCACTTCCGTAAGTTCCACGTTTTCTTGTCCATTCGCCGACACCTGCATGCTACTTTAGGCTTGCTCATTGAACGTCACCTAAACCAAAATCAAGGGACACTTCTTACTTTTAATCGGAGCACAAACCACAACGCTGATGACTATGGTGTTTACGATAGATAGCATACTTTTATATATTTAGACAATGTGACTACCTTTGGTCGCAACGGAAACGAATAAGCGTGTAAGATTAATAACTTGCTTCTGCGAAGTTACTGGCCATAAATTTGGGCTATACCTTGTCTATTATATTCATTTTTTGGTCAATGATTTCCCCTTTCCATCTTTGATTTTGCCTACCTCGAAGACTTCAGATGTTTACGTGGAAGCCCAAATAGAAAACCTGATGCCGTACGCCATAATGATGGAAAGAATATCTTGGGAGGTCGGGCCACACATAAAGGTGACCGATATGAACACCCTCACTGACTGGACGAGGTGCGTGTAGGTTGGTTTTTTTTATGCTTTCACTTTTCGCTCCCTGGCGGACGCTGATTGAGGAATTATTCTTTCATACTGTATGGTCTGACGAACGCGGGACAATGCGTGAGAAGGATTAAACAGCCGACGTTCTGTGTAACTGGATGTTAGCGGGACCTAGTCCAAGTTCACCCTAGGAGTGTGACCCGAAGAATGGGGATTGAGTTGTTCTAAGTGGAAGAAGATAACATGAATTGGGTGGAAGATGGGAGACCTTGGCCGCTTTTGTCTGCTTGTACACATTTTCGTCCTACCTATGAGTACAGAGCCTCGTACGAATGCGCTTGGAGACGAAAAACGCCTTTCATTATAGCGTGGATTATCGTGGTCTTAGGGCTAACACTGGCAACCGCCTCTTAGGGCGAGTATCGTGGTGAAATGCAAAGACTTATTCTATTCAAGCTAGTGGGGAGTAACATTCAGGAGTTGTGGCATTATGCGATGATGCGAACTGGCTTCTTGCTTAAATGACTGCATTTTACTGGCATCCTAGTAACAGTTTAACTGCACCTTCATGCGATCCTCTTTTTTAACTTGACGCGTGGAAGCGGATCCTCGCCCTGGCCGTAGTTTAATACCGCACCGATAACATTTGTCTGCTGATTCTTTAGGATCGGGCAGGGGAAATTCGTTGTCTGGGCGAAGAGTACATCAAAATATTGAAATTCGCCTTCACAGCACAGAGATTGAATAGTTATTGTCTGTTCATAATGTCCAGACTCAACCTTACACATTCACATCTGCCACCGAATAAACTTGAGTGTTTTTTTTTAATCGCCTACTGTTTCTTAGCTATTTCCGTCAATTTACTACTAATTCAACTGAGTTAAAGCCCCTATGAAATGGAATGGAAATTTTTATCTATTTCAAGTTGAACTCGTGGTTGTTTGAGAAATTTTCCTGAATCTGGTTTGGTTGAGTTTATTATAAACGGTGTACTTGCTGAGCTCTCATGCCTAGACAAACATCGAATTATGTGTAATAGGGACTAGCCGAAGGGTAGTCGAAGACATACGTACCGCTTCGCGTTCTTGTGTCGCATGGCTGACGTCTAAGCGCAGTAGGTTTTTTGCATCCGCTGTTTGTGCAGGGCGTCGTTAACCTCACTCCTATCATTTGCTGCCGATGGCTGTAGAGGCGTTAGTAGTCGGGTCAAGGCGACTCGGGACTTGGCACACACAAAGCGCTCTACTGGATGTCCATTTAGCAACTAATCTCGTCCAGAATTTTCCCGAGGTCTTGATTATTAGTTGCATCCAACTTGAAATTCTTTCAATACTGACATGGCAACTTCTGTTTGCGTACGCGTAATTTGACCATCAGATACCTATGGTTAGTTCCCCTCTAGAATTGTGCCTCCAGATAACGTCTATAAAGACATATATGGCAGTGAAACTAGCAGCTAATGTCCTCCTCTAGTTCACGCCGAAGCTCGCGCTTACAAAGACTGCATTTTGCACAAGAATCCGCTTTCTATTTCGTTTTAGAAGCAAACCCAACCACGTTAGAGGCTCGAACATTCAAAATGTCTTCATGGCCCCAAGGGATGTCTGGCGTCTGCTTTACAGGACACAACCACCAATCCAGGGCGTCCCAGGAGATCTCAAACTTGGCAACCTTGACATCACCTGGCGTTCTGCCATGGGGGAGAGAGGCCATCTTCAAACCTTCCCTTGCCCGTTTAATGTAATCGCAAATATCGTTGCATGCTCAAGTACACTTTTCAGTAATTAGGTTTGTGGAGCCCGCGTCAAATCTATCAGGTTAGGATCTCTCGAGTAGCCACTATTGGTAGTCAAGCCACGATGCGTAATCGAGTGTTTTTATTCCCTTTAAATTCTAAATTCATCTGCATATATTAGACAAGGAGTATAGAAAATCAGGTGGTTTGAAAATCGATGATGGCTTTAGATTACAGCCAGTACCCTCCTTAATTATGAGTGATTCACTTCAGTTTCTGCATATTTCACAAATAGTTAATTTTTCACCACTAAAGTTTCGACATTCACCAAAATGAACTGGCCTAGTAAAAAATCGTTAAAACACATTTTCCCATACATAACACGCTGCCTCAACTTGATAGGAGTTTGGAGTGCTAAGCACCATGAGATTGCAGACAGTTGAAGAGGTCTTCTTTTGTCTTGCTCACAGTCCAAATACCACAAAAGATAGACGGAGTTGGTGTACAGAGTAGACTATTGACTTTTGTCAGAACTGTGTCTAGTTGATTTTGGTAAGCATTAAAATCTACCAGTCTTTGAAATCCGTAGAAATCGAGGAAAAGGGGAGTGTGAAAAGACAAAATGAAGAAGTCGACACTACTGTTTATTTGAAAACAGGACCCGTTGTATTTGTGTGCCCTTGTGCGTGTACAAGCTTGCATGTAAAGTATGAGTACCAGTCAAGGCAGTAAAAGTCTTAGGGAACAGACATCCATACGTAAGACGTTCAAGAAAAACCGGATGATTGAACAAGAGGGTATGTCTTGAAGGGCAAATAGGTTGTTGATCTAACATGGTGTGTCATAGGTGTGGTGGGTGCGTTCATTAACGACGATGAGGGTGGAGAGGTGTCATACCACTACTACTGCGTTGTGGTTGCGCAGGTGTTTTTAGGGTGAATTCACCATGAACTGATTGGTGGTACATTCCTATACGGCGTCGTTGAAAGAGCTGAGGCAAGTGGTTACACATAAGTCTTGCCAAGTTTAAGCCGTCTAATAACTTAAAGAGAACCCGGGTGGAGCCCTCAAGTACTAATTCATTGTTGAAGGGGAGATGATTATGTGTGGCCTCTCTTGATAGTCAAGGGATTTGGTGAGAGGCTCAGAGCACTGAATTTTTGCGGCCTAGGTGCTTTTGGAGAATAAAATGTAGAAGTGAGCAAGAGAAGCCGAGTTGATGGACGACTTGACTGTCTGTTTTTAAGCTAACAAGTGTAGGTGGGTTATGTAGGTGGCACTCTCTGTCAGTTGGTAGAAAAATGCCTTGAAAGAGGATGTATTAGCAGTGGAATTATCTTTATAGGCGCCTCGCTTCTCCGACGTATCAGTCCGGGCTATACAGCTACCAACACGAGTGGCAGTTGGAGATCCATTCCAAGTGACTTGCGAAGTTACAAACCGAAGGTTAGATTTCCTTTTAACCTTACCTCATTGCTTTACTGAAACGAGATGCGAATGGTTTGTTGAGGTTGAAAACGCCGGTGCGAACAGTTAGGGCGTCATTTTGGATGCGTAGAACTTCACTTGTTGCCAAGACCATCACGAATTGATTAAGGATTCCTCACATGTCAACGTGATTTCGATGAAAACACCAAGTCAACATGTCACCGATACTGTCACAATCAACTTCCGCAACAAAAAAAGATAAATTCGATCTTATTTACAACTGAATTGGGGGGCCAGAATGGGCCTCAGGACAGACGTGTGGCACAGTGCGTGTGTTCCACCTCACTCCATTCCTTCTGGTACGTGGTGCCTTGTCAGTGAGAGACGGCTGAATGTTTCTAGTTCAATCCGATTTTCAGACAAATGCGAACATAGTGTGTTGCGTACAAATCGGCCCCGGTCGAAACCTTGGCTAGTATAGGGAATAAACTGGCATACGCTTGACATCGATGTAAATACTTGCCTAATTTGTGTCTCAACGTGTGTTCGCCCTTTTCTACTCCTTTTTTGTAACAGCAACCGTTCGTTAGATCTTCTTCTGTGTCGACCTGATTCGTCGGCATCTGAAATAGACGAGGAACCTCCTTTGGCCGACCAATCCGCCCCCGCCTTCATTTGGACTGGAGTTACCCACAGGCGCCTTGAGAGTTTAGAACCTAATGCCGCAGTCAAACTCGTTCTCGAATTTGTGCCCATCATGATCGGATTACAGGTGCGACCTGTTTGTCCAACTGATATTTCCCCAGTTCCACTTTTATTTATCACCCCACTCTCTCCTACCTCGTCTCCGACCTCTTATTGCCTACCTCATTGACCTACAGTCTCATCAGCACCGTCAACATCTCCACCCGATGCTATCTATTGCCCAGTTCAGTCAATCGACAGTGCAGCTTCATGAAATGCTCCATAGGTAGCTGTGTTGATGAAGTAGTTGTCAGACTCATTGTTACCTGGTCACTTCGCAAAGCTACACTAGTAGGTGAGATCAAAACGAGAGCTGTCCTCAAGTGACTACTGCTATTTCGGGATTGTTGATTGGTGCTGTTGAGCTGACTTAACGTGAAGTCAACTGAGATGCTTATGTATTTTTCTTTGAAGGAAATGCCTCCAATTCACCTGAGGGAGATCTCGACGGAGAATCGGTTCAACGTTTCCTGTCTGGGTCAGATTCTGGTAACATGTGCTTCCTGATTCCTCGTCGCACTCCCTCTACTCACAGTCGCCGTCTCCCCACTCACTGGTTTCTCTGTAATCGCCTCTTTTAACTATCACACTCATCTATCCTTTAATTGTGTAACTGCCGTTTTACACTCACAGTCACTTTCCAGACTAGGCAGTGGTGTGATGACGGTCAATGGAAGTAACGAATCCATCCGTTCATTACACCTGAAGTTGAAGGAGTTAGTCGTTGGCATTCGCGTGTACGGTAAATGGCGTGTGACATGTGTTTTCAGTGAAAGTACCTTCACCACGAGAGGTCTCGCAAGTTATCAGTCCTGGAAGCCTTTAAGGTGCCACGAATCTGACGCGTTTCTCTTCACCACACAAGGAAAGAACTCTAGTCATCGCGTTTACACCGGGACGGGTGTGGAGGGGTGAATATTTGTATGTCGTTGGGATTACATCTTGCCTTCAGGCTAGACACTGCACAGCTGCAAAGGCGTTTGTGCAGACCGTTGACAAAATGAGTCTTGATTAAACGAAGTGTTGTTTTCGTAGAAGGTGAGGTAATTGGATCATGGATTCATGACAATGCAGGTGAATGACCGTGTTGTTCATGACAACACCGCTTGGTACAAATGCAAGTGATTTTGGGATATCGGGTGCTAGTAGTAATTCTAGCTAGACATGACTCCAGTAATGGAGTCAAGACGGACTACTGTGGGACACGTGGAGTTGGCCTGAATTGACGAGAGAGAACAGAGTATGAACTGGTGTTTCGGGATTTCACGTGATTGAGGTGGATGCCAATGCTGTCGATTGATATGTTGCAACTAGCAATCTTACGAGGCATTCGTGGAATCGAGGAAATGTGTGTGTGTGTGTGAGTGCATCCGTAAGGACGGGAATTTTCCCATTGTCAGTAGTGGTTATTGGTTTGCTTCAGTTCCGTTGAAAGTTGCGGTTGGGTTTAGTTGTGTGCAGCATGTGAACGGTGGTTGCCTCATTTGCTAGGCGTTTCAACGGTAACCTGCGATACATTGGGCTAATCACCTATCTTTTCTGTAGCTCACGTAGTCTTAGGGACTAAGACATTTGCTAAATGAACGACTTTCATATTTGTCGTCTAATCGTTCAGTTTGCATTTTTGCATTGTCACTTTTGCTGTTGACGCGAAAAAGCAGACCTCTAAACTTGATATGTCTTCATGATTAAATCCTCAATAAGATTCAAATTAGCTTGATGAAAATGATATCGATTTTAAGCTGCACTTTTGCCAGTCACATTCGTCCAGTTTGACCAAGTGATTCTCTAGCTTCTAGGCCCAGCAATCAGCCAAAACTCTCTCTCTTATCCTCACCGGATTTAGCCTGCTAGCTACCTTTCGTGACAAGTCCACAGGGCGGTACCAGTACACGCCAGTCCTAATCTATTAGGTGTGTGACTTAATCTGTGGAGGTTTTCAAGCAAATTTATTTGATCTAAAACGATAACAATTAAATTAATACTGGAAGTATTGTCCATAGTTTTCTCAGGTAGCGTACGAATGCCTTCGCGCAGGTTTCGAGGCAGTAAAGCCATTGACAAAGTTATATACGCACATTGTTTGGGCGTTTTTAACAGTGTTTACCGACAAAGGCGTGCTGCTGCTGCATGCACAGCAAAACTTGCAGTCGGATGGGACCAGGTTCGGTGAAAATACCGCGTGTGGGAAAACTTCCCATCCCAAGTTCAAGAGGGTCGTCTGAGTCGCGCGAGCGACGTGAGGTCGAGCGTGGTCATGTCGCACCAGTTTGACCTGCCTCCTTCCTTGCCCAGTAAATCGCCGTTTCTCGTCAAGTTCTTTGTTCGGTTTGTTCAGTTGTCGGCTGCAATGTTCTACAGTCACCGTCTGACGACCAACTTCCAGGAGCTTGTAATCAAGCACACCCTTCATTTCTCACTAGATACACTAAAGAACCTTTTTCAAGTGAACTTTCTGTTTCTGTACTGGGTTGCTCGGGATCTACCTACGACATTTTTGCGTTTGGGATTCTCGTAAAAAGTACACTTTTCACCACCCGTCAGAATGTTTCATAGAAAGCGGTTGTGCTTAACTCTCTTTGGTCTTCTTATGTGGGTCTCATATTTCGTATTTCTGTTCAGGCAGATCAACAACTGTCAACAGCCAAGCACGTAAATTCACTTCACATGAAATTTTTGCCTTTATCAGTGTTTGGCTACTACATTTTTGTCCTGGTCGTATTATTTGGTGACTCCGTCTAAAGCAGTATAGCTCCCATTTCGGCCATCATTGATCGGCCCTATGGCAGCAAACTCCTCTTTGGAAAACACCTCCGTCATCTTCTCTTCAACAGCTCTACCACCCGAGTGTGTTGTGTGAAAACTGAGGCTCATTCTTGCATTTGGGAAGTCACATTCCAGTTCACGTCTCAGTGAGAAGCTTGCAAAAATACAAAGTCAACGTGCATGAATGTCGCTTTCACGGAAAAAAAACACGAAAACCCGTCTCTGGTTCATCGGTAGACACAGTTATTGATGGCCTAGGGAATTGAAAGAAAAGACTTCCAAACTCGCCTTGGATGACGACTAGCTTTTTGGGAGAACCACGGCGATGACAATGCTCGTTTACCGTTTTTATAATCCAATCAACTTAGAAAGCGAAGTGGTCCATGTCGATATTGTTGTGGGGAAAAGGCCCGATCCTGTCAACACCCATGCAGGGATAAAGGTTGATGGAATTTACTGCAATGAAAGCCAATAGCAACGTGAGAAAATGCAACTTGTTACAAAACCCAGTAGAGCTATCGAGTTGTTTGCTCTAGTGCATATGTGCATACACACGTAAAAATTCGAATGCAGCTTCAAATTCCCATGATTACATGTAAAGGCGGATCATTTAAAAAACTGGCGGGTTCCTCGAAATAATTAGAAGTGTGTTGTTAAATAAATGCAATTGGTGGCTTCCTTCTGGCACGGTTTTGGGTTCCACGTTCTCAGCAAATCTATTGGTGCGATTAGAGCGCAAGGGAATAGTAACAGCAGTTGTGCACGCCATGCAAGAACTCATAATTACCACGGTGTATCTGCAAATGTATGCAGATTTAAGCATACAAATTTATATTGGCACAAGCTTCAACAAACAGAGCGATTTTGCAACCTAGACTGGTTAAGTGTCAGCTGCACTTGCCGATATGACCCTCCTTAAAACTTCTACAAACGGCGATCGAGTGCAAAGCAGAAACATATACATGGCATGTGTTCTTGTTTGTATGATTTATTTAATCTACACATTTCTAAAAAGCCATTACTATGTAAACGAACAGGTGAATTGGAAACCTGGTGTGGCCAATATCTGCAAATGGAATGATTCTGTCAACAACACCAACCACAGTCAGTACATCATTCACCTATGCTACAATGGTGTTCTCCCTCACGATCCTCAAACCAAGCCACCGACAATCAACGAGATGAGGATCCGATCCAACGGAAGCAACATTTCACTGACTTTTGAAGAACTAGCTGGAATACCCGATGCTGAGTGGTTAAGACCATTTGACGTATCTGTGTACGACCTGTATCCACAGGCCATCCCCGCAAGGGATTCGATTCGAAGAATTCTCCTGAGATTGCCACTACTCGAGGTAAGTCTCTTCGCTGTTACATTATGAAGCCATATTTGCTGATGTACGGAATTAGTTGAGAGTAATTTTCACGTCCGAGGAACTTTGATGTTGCAATAGGCAAGCCATGAAAATCCAGCACCTGTTTTAGATGGCAGTGAGCTCTGTTGTGATTCTGTTTCACCTAATGTGTCATCACGACTTGAGGGGCAAGTGTGTCCAATCCGATAGCAACCGGCTTCTTCTAGTCATGGCTCTAAACAGGTACTCATGGCCCTAAACTGGTACTTGAGGGACGAATATATCAAATCCAATAGCAGCCGGCATGTTCTTGTTGTGCCCTTAAACTGGTACTCGCTTTCACACCGAAGTAAATGACTTATAGTGGCTGTTGAAATTCGATGGAACACAGAGTAGTCAGGGCAGAATACGAAGGTCGAATGCTAAGGTGCTTTGTGAATCGCCATGACAGTGATCGAGGTTTGAGGGAGTCACTACCTTTGGTGAGGGTGTGTGGGTCGTCTCCAATGGAGTGACATTTCGGCGCCTAGGTAGATGCTGTGTGAGGAAACGAATCACGTTTTACGTCAGTCACTCTTGTCGATCTTGTGAACTCAGGGCAAGACAAGAATGCCAAATTCGATGGAGCCAAGGCCGTTTTGTGAGTCACGATGACAGTCATCGTGATTCGTGTTTGACAAAGAAAACTGTCTTACCGCGTTTATCAAAGGGAATATTTGACTTAATGAAAATAGATCAGAAATGACAAGCATTATGAATGTTTTTAAAAGTGTTCAAGTAGACAGGTGAATGTGTCTTGACTTCGCAAAAAGTATTATCACTTATTGTTTGCCAAGACGACTTTTTCTGTAAACACGTAGGCGACCATTACAAATGAGCTCAAGAGCTTATACATCGGTGCTTAGGTGCAAATGGTTTGTAAGAACTTTAACGTACATGCGTCAAGATGACATTTCAAGTGTATTGGTTCCATCCCTGTAAGATTTCTGCAGATATTCAGGAATTTGAAGCCACCCACAACAACCAAGCGCTTCTAAACGCACAATTAAATTGGGCAATTTGGGGGATTCGCTGAAGTTCATCGCTACTCAGGCATGTGCTCCTATTGAAGGTTGATTGTCTATGCATGGAAAGCTAAATGGACCACGGTACCTGATTTGACATGCAATGTTCTGCATAATTAAATAGCACTTGTCGCGTCGGTAACCAACAATAGGCTTCCTAAAATAGCCCTCTTGCATGTCATCAATTCGAAACTAGGCGGTAGTACATGGGCAAGCTAATGTCAATGTTCCTGTGTTTACAAGGTTTTTCAATCACGTCTGCTGTACACTAAGGTTCTGATCTAATAACACACAAAATTGTTTGCATTGAAACCGAGTCAATGTGTCAACAAGGCCTCATTCAATCGAGGTGTCCCACTCGATTCCCGGATGAATCACCACCAACCATCCGATGCAATATTAAATATAACGTTAAGAAATCTACAAAAAATGCAGCATCAGGAAAATGTACAAGCACGCACACTCACGCACACATCTCAATGGGTATTCGCTCGTATTTCAGCACCCAATCTACAATCCCACTCTCCACTATCTCCAAGTTCCCTCAAAGACATGCCCTCCTCACTCACTCCAACAGCCTCCGGGCAACCTGGCCAACAATGCCTCTCACGACGTCGTGATCATTTACAAATCAGCAGTCTACAACTTCCAGGCACGACAACAACTTCGACAGCTCTTCAACTTCAGTGGCAGTGGTCTCGACGTACACGTGGTTTTCTCAGTTGGACTACCCAAATCCTCAGGAGGCAACGTGTTTCAGCGTGATGGATTCAATGTGACCCTTGGTGGACGCTCGGGTCAATTGTACATAGATGACCAAGTATACAGGAACAAGATGAAGCGGGCCCTGGATAATGAGATGCGCAGATATGGGGACTTGATCGTTGGCAATTACGAGGACACCTACTTCAACTTGACGCTGAAGATGTTCTACACATTTCAGTGGGCCGCCAGATTCTGTCGACCCTACCACCCCACATTCGTCTTCATTGACGACGACTATGCTTTCAATACACGGAAGTTGATGGAATTTATCCGCAGTAAAAGCCCACAACAACGCGAGACATTGAACCATGGTATCGCCGGTGTGTCTAATGCCGTTATCCGTCAAGATTCGCCATACTTACAATGGGCATTTTCGAAACGCGAGATTCCCTGGCCAAATCACGTACGCGACCACCTAGGAATCTACAGCATTTGGGGATTTCGTCACGTGCATGATATGGCTCTCACTATGCACTTTACAAAACCACTGGTTGTCGACGATATTTGGCTGGCGATGGTGCAGCGTAAGCTCAATCTCACATTCACCCAGCTGGATGGGATGTTCATTTTCAAGGTGCCATTCGTAAGCGCCTCATGTGATTATGTCTTATTTGCACCTGTCCAAGAATTTCTAAGTCGTCACTGTACGCTATAATTTGTAAAGGGGTTAGTTATTGTCCATATTGAAGTCTTCGTTTTCAACACACGCCTTTTAACGTGTACTTAGCGAACATTCAACATCGCTGTGATTGTTTTCATTCACTCTCTAGTCAATTAAACTGTTACGTTGAGATGTATTATGCTAAAAATCCTTGAATTCATCAGTGTTGAATTTCATCCTATGTTATGCTGAGGTGACAAGCATATTTGCTACTTTTCGCCCATGATCAAAAGCCTCCACTCAGACAACCGGTACCTTGCATTCCTTGTCTGACGCTAGACCCCACTTCCCCACGCTGATGTAAGATAAGGCAAGACCTCCCAACCAAAGGCCGAGTGATCTGTCAAATGTGCCCACTTATATAAGTCAATGATGACGTTGACCTGATGGACGAATGTAGTTTAACACAGATAGAATTTTTCTTAGCGTTTCGTGGGTGACTCATGTACAGAAGTGGCCTAGTTAGGGCAGTTGTGCATGCAATGACGAAATCTTTAACCGCGTTGACCTGACATGGGGAGTGATGCATCCCCAAAACTATTACAATGCGGGCAAACATGCTCACGTCTGAGGTTAGAATGATTTTGGGTGTGCATTCATTGCAAGACTATCCGAGGCCATTCACACTTCCTACATTCTACGGAATGATGATTTCTCTCAACAAACCATTTTGTCTTGCTAGCTAGACTTACTAGATGGTTGTCATTTAAGTCCGAGCCAAGTCTTAAACACATTGTTTTCATGGTTGTGAAGGTATTGTGGACTGTCCCCAAGACTACGTGAGCTACAGAAAAGATAGGTGATTAGCCCAATGTATCGCAGGTTACCGTTGAAACGCCTAGCAAATGAGG